TACGTACACTTGGTAAACTACTGTACAGAATGTAACATTGTAGAGGTTTACTTATAATATGTAAGATTTTCTTACACCTCTTATAACAAACTTATAAGGAAATTTATCAAGGGATCTCTTATTTTCAGTGGATATCTCCTCTGTGCAAAAGTGAATGACATGACACAAAAAGTGACATGCTCAGTGAATTTTGACTTGATCCATCAATAAATGCTATCATTTATTTACATAATAAACAAAATCACTACTGTGTAAGAAGGAAGCACATGTTTGTACATGCCTTTTAATAACACACATGTTAATCTGCTATATATAYACTTGGTAAAGCACAGTACAGTTTGTAACATTAAATTATGATCTTTACGCTAATGTAAAACCGGATTAAATTTGATTTACAAAAATGACATGTATGATAAAAAATAAATAAAAAAATTACATTTTTAACTGATTAACAGAGGCTACAGGAAGTTTACTTGTTCTTATGACGACTTACCGAGGAAGTTGTTCCATTCTGCATCCAGGTCAGCCTGGTTAGCCAAACACCCCCGCATCACATTCAGGCAGTAATTCTGGCAGGGCTTCAGGGCCACTTGGCCTGAGCAGTAGGGACAGTACAACATCTTCATGGAGGCCCGGACACAGCTGGGAGACGCGCTGACCTGCAGGAAGAGGCAGGAGGTAGTTAGCATCCCGTTTTCATTTAACCACAGCAAAAAAATAAATAAAACATCCAACACAGTCACAGACGACGCATACTTGTCTTTGAAAAAAAAATCCTGACCATTACTTTTTTAAGCCAACTGAACAGTATCATCTAATCAACACTGAATCACTCAGTAAAATGGAAAAAACATGTCGAAGTGAGCAACCAGAGAGGTTTATGTTAGAACAGGCTGAGTCCTGCAACCACAGCTGGCTTTTCTGAGAAAGATATGAAGTCATAGACTCTGAAGGGAGGGATGGACAGGGGAACAGCTTTCAAGTGATGGGAAGCAGACCGACTTCTAAAGCCTTTTTTTCCATAATTATGAAAATAAAACAAAAACAGCTACTTACCATAGAAACTCTATTCACCACCTCTGGCATGAGAGCGAGTCCCTTCACGAAGGTGCGAGCAGCCACGAAGGCTCGCGTCAGCTGGATGCGGAGCTTCCGCGGCACGTCGCCGAACGGCTGCAGCTGCTCCGTGTGCCGGCTGACGCACTCCATGTAGGCGTCGCTGAACTCGTACTGCACGTTGACCAGCCGGAACATCCTCTCCAGCAGCTCGTCCCAGAAGTCCTGCAGCATGGAGTCCAGGTTGACGGCGGCGCTGCCCGACACGTAGTACCGCGTCAGGGACTCGAAGAACTTGCGGAACAGCTCCGAGTTCTGCACGTACATCATGCCGTACGTCCGCACAAACATGTTATGCAGCGAGTCCTCGGCATTCTTCAGAAGCTCGCGGAAAAACTCTGCGGAGAGAGAACTGTGTGTGAAAAAACRATTTAAGAAACAGAACAAACCTAAAACTCTAAACATACAGTGGAGCTGATATTCAGACCTGTCCTTTGCAGCCTCATGCTGTAGCTGTTTAATATACTGTCTAAAGTTTTCATTTCTTCTGCAACAAAATTTGAAATGTATTTTAGGTGCAGCCCATTTCTCTTGATCACTGTTGAAATGTTTCTGCACCTTGACTGGACATGATTTAAAAAYACACTCCTCTCTGTAGAACWCTCCCTGTAAGACAATCAGCTAAAGCCAAACCATGAAGTCACAGGACGTGCCTGCAGCGCTCAGAGAGCGTACAGACCTGAGAAACAACAAAAACATTTCTGATGCACTGAAGGGTCCCAAAAGTAAAACACGGTCTCTATAGGTTTCAATAAATCAGAAGGGTGGTCAACCAGAACTGATGTGGGCTTTATGGTTCTGTCTCGACTGAAGCTTGTCCTCAGTACAAAACAATTACAAGCTGCTTGAAGGCAGAGTTCTAAAGTAAACTAAGTACAAATACTTCTTTACTGTACTTAAGTAGAATTTCTGTATATCTGTACTTTACTTAAAGGAGACCAATTATGGGTCCTAGAAATTTTTATGGTATGTCTGTGGGCTATCCAGACC